TTTTTTTTTAAGATTTTATTTATTATGCATACGACATTCTGCCTCTACATATGCCTGCACGCCAGAAGAGGGCACCAGATCTCATTACAGATGGTTGTGAGCCACCATGTGGTTGCTGGGAATTGAACTCAGTACCTTTGGAAGAGCAGTCAGTGCTCTTAACCTCTGAGCCATCTCTCCAGCCCCTACACTGCCATTTTTCTATGGGCCATGTCGGTCTCCTCTCCATCTGAAAGCAGTCCTTTGTCCTCTGGGACAAATATCCCTGACCCCTCTCCCTGTTCCTTTTCCCTTGTCCTTCACCCTCTTGTCCCTTATCACTGCCCTCTGCCCCTCTGGGGCAAATAAATCTCCTTTGTGCTAAGAACTTGGTCGTGTGGGTCCTGAGCCAATACTGATCTCTTTGCTGTTGGTGCGATAATGTATGTTGACCACAGCAATCTAAGGAAGAGTTTATTCTGGCTGATGGTTCCAGAGGGCTAGATGTCCATCGTGGCAGGGAAGGTATGGTGACCAGAGCAGGAAGCTGAAGGTCACATCCCAATCACACACAGGAAGCAGAGAAAGAGAGACACATCTGTAAGCGGTGCAAAGCTATAATTTCTCAAAGCCCACACCCAGTGAGTGGCATACTTCTTCCAGCAAGGCTCCTGGCTTATCAGTTCCATAATCTCCCCAAACACCACCAACAACTGGAGTTTATGGAAGACATTTCTCTTTCAAACTACCATGCCTACTGAGCTAACTCACAGGCCCCAGGATGATCTTTAGTTCTAAGGCAGCCTTAGCTACAAAATTAGACTAAATCTCAAAAAAAAAAAAAAAAAGAGAGAAAGAAAAGAAAAGAAATCCAAGAGGAAGGCTGGGCATGGTGGAACCTGACCTTTAATCAATCCCAGCATTCAGGAGGCAGATGCAGGTTTCTGTGAGTACCAGGTCTGTATAGTGAGACTCAAAAACAACAACAAAAACTAAAGCAGGGCTTTGCCTTCTGTAAATTGAAAAGAGAGAGATTTTTGCTAAGTGTGATGGTGTGTGCTACAGTCCTAGGACTTGGGAGGTGGAGGGAGGAAGATCAGTTGGAATTATCCTTGACTACATAGCAAGCTCAATAAGAAAGAAAGAAAAAGAAAAGGCTTGGGGTACAACTCAGTTGTCGGAGCGCTGCTTGCTTAGCATGCAGGAAGCCTCGGGTTTTGATCCTCAGCACCTGGTGGAATGGGACAGAGTGTAGTGCTTGGGAGGGAGAAGCAGGAAGAGCAGAAGTTCCAGGTCATCTTGACTACTTAAAGATCAATACACAATGAGTGCTTACATAGGCTATAAGACACTATAAAAAAAAAGGAAAAAGGGTTAGGGATAGGGTTAGACAGATAGAGGGAAGAAAGGAGGGAAGGAAGAAAGAATGGAAGGAAGGAAGAAGGGGCTGGAGAGATGACTCAGAGATTAAGAGCACTAACTGTTCTTCCAGAGGTCCTGAGTTCAATTCCCAGCAACCACATGGTGGCTCACAGTCATCCATAATGAGATCTGGTGCCCTCTTCTGGCATGCAGGCATACATGCACACAGAAAGCTATATACAAAATAAATAACTAAATCTTAAAAAAAAAAATCCCTAAAAAAAATGTGGGGCCAGGCATTGGTGGCGCATGCCTTTAGTCCCATTACTTGGGAGGCAGAGGCAGGGGGGTCTCTGTGAGTTCGAGGCCAGCTTGGTCTCCAGAGCGTGCGCCAGGATAGGCTCCAAAGGTACACAGAGAAACCCTGTCTCGGAAAAAAAAAATGTTGTGGGGCTGGAGAGATGGCTCAGTGGTTAAAAGCACTGTCTACTCTTCCAGAGGACTGAGGTTCAATTCCCAGCACCCACATGGCAGCTCACAACTGTCTGTAACTCCAGTTCCAGTGGATCGGATACCTTTACACCAATGCACATAAAATAAAGTCAAATAAATTATTTTTAAAAAATGTTGTGTGTGTGTGGGGGGGGCTGCTAGAGAGATGGCTTAGTGGTTAAAAATGTTGACTGCTCTTCCAGAGGAACTGGATTCTGTGGACTCCAGGCACAGATGTGGTGCCCATGCATACATGCAGGCGAAACATTCGTTCACACAAAATAAGATTAAATAAATATAACAAAAATTTAAGAAAGACAAATAAAAAACATCATTCTCAAAAAAAGAAAGAAAGAAAATCAAAAAGAGCTAGGTGTATAGCTTAAAGACAGAGCAATCCGCTAGTACCCTGGAGACCAGGTCCTATCCCCAGCACAACAAACAAAAACAGAAAACTCAATAGAATAATAGACAAACCATGAGCTCACTAATATCTCTGAATAGAGCTGGGATTGGTGTTATGCAACATTAATCCCAGCTTTCGGGAGGCCAGGGCAGTGGAGTCCATGCTAGTTTTGAGGCCAGCCTGGTCTATACAGCAAGCTCTGAAAGATTTTAGTTTGCTGAGAGAAAAAGTTTTGAAAGACTTTAGTTCACAGAGAGAAAAAGTTTCCCACGGGCCTTGCCCCATTACAAGGAAGTGGGCCCCAACCCTTGGCACATCCTATGGTTTAGGCGGGGGCAATCGCCAAGACAACCCTCTTTGGGTCACACCTGGCTGGCCAACAGACAATCAAGGACTTTCCAGCGTATGTTCTGTGGTTTTTCCTTTATAGAAGAGCAGGCTCCAGCTCTGTGACCTCTCTAACATGAGATCATACTTTGTAATCAATCACTTTGTGCCCCTTGCCTGTATGCTGATCTGCATTTTTTTTTTCCTATAAAAGGAGCTTGTGCCCCATGCAGGGGTGTGCAGCTTCCCCAATATTGCTGACACCCCAATGCTCATTCGTTCAATAAACCCTCTTGCTTTTGCAGCTCTTGTTCTGGTTTCTGAGTCTTGGGGGTTCCTTGGGATCCTGAGGCCCTTAGGGGTCTGGGGGTCTTTCAGTTCCAGGACCAAGCTACATAAAGGGAGAACTTGTCTCAAACAAACAAACAAACAAACAAACAAGATTGCCAGATAGAAAATCAATTATAGTCCTCCATAAACAAAGAAAATAGTTACAATGTTTATTCAAGTGCCTAATGGATTGGAGCTGGGGAGTAGCTCAGTGGGTAGAGCTCTTGCCCAGAATTCACAAGGCCCTGGCTTAGATCTGCAGTGGTGCAAGAAAAAAAGTAGAAAGAAAACTGTCAGGTATGGTTCCTTCTATACACAACCCACCTGAGCACAGGCACCTCCTCCATTGTGTGTGTGTGTGTGTGTGTGTGTGTGTGTGTGTGTGTGTGTGTGTGTGTGTGTGTGTACGCACACACACATGTGTATAGGTACCCATAAAGGCCAGAAGAGTGTGAAATCTCTTGTAGCTGGAATCACAGGTGGATATGAGTAGCAAATGTGGGTTCTAGGAACCAAACTCAGATTCTTTGGAAGTATAACAAGTGCTCTTAACTGTCGATCCATTTCTCTAGAGTTTTTTTTTTTTTTTTTTTTTGGTTTTTTGAGACAGGGTTTTTTTGGTGCTTTGGAGGCTGTCCTGGAACTAGCTCTTGTAGACTAGGCTGGGCTCGGGATCTGCCTGCCTCTGCCTCCCCAGTGCTGGGATTAAAGGTGTGCACCACCAACGCCCAGCTTCTCTAGGGTTTTTGTTGTTGTTGTTGTTGTTGTTGCTGTTTTTGTTGTTGTTGTTTGGAAACAGTCTCACTAGAAATGAGGTCTCCATTATGAGGTTAAGCTGGTTGATCAGCAAGGCCCAGAGGTCTCCCTTTCTGTATCTGATCTGCATTGGATTAGAAGCATGAGTCACCACACCCAGCTTTTTGTGTGGGTTTTAGGGATGGGACTCCGGTCCTCATGCTTGCATGGCAAGCACTTCATGTCCAGGCTATCTACTCAAGCCCTCTCTCATTTTTGAGACAAGGTCTCACTTTGTAGCCCTGACTGGCCTTCAACACGTTCCTTCTGCTTTTGCTTTCCAAGAGCTAGGATATCACTTCTTATAGGCTTCCCTATTTGTCTGTGCGTTCATTCAATCACTTATTCACTAACTCATTCAGCAAGGGTTTATGACTTTTTTGTTTGTTTGTTTTTTGAGACAGGGTTTCTCTGTAGCTTTGGAGATTGTCCTGGAACTCACACTGTAGACCAGGCTGGCCTGGAACTGACAGAGATCCACCTACCTCTGCCTCCTGATTGCTGGGATTAAAGGTGTATGCCACTACCGCCTGGCTATTTGGACTTTATGAACACTCACTGCAAGCCACTGAAAACATGAAGGCAAAGAAACATGAGGAACTGTATTTAAGGGTCACAGCACTAGGAAGGTTGAGAACCACTGAAATAGAGGTTCATCTTATCACCTTCTATCAGGAAAGGCAGTTTAATAATCATTGTATTCTCATTGGTGAATATATAATTACCAACTGAGCTACATAATGCTCTGAGTCAATAAGCACTCCTCTGAGAGCACATAACCGGAGTTTGCCAGACAGCTTAGAGAGTACCGAGAGCTGATAACCAAGGCACCTTTCACAGACTGAGGAGGCTTGTGTGTGTGGAAGGAGAGATGACTCAGTGGTTAAGAGCACTGGCTGCTCTTCCAGAGGACAGGGGTTCAATTCCCAGCATCCACATGGCAGCTCACAACTGTCTGTAACTCCATTTCCAGGACATCTGGTGCCAATGCACATAAAATAAAGTTAAATAAATTTAAGAAGTAACAATGGACATTAACTGGGAGGCATAAGTAGGCAAAATGAGAGTGAGAAAGGATCCCATAGGTGCTAGAGGAAGCATAACAGCCCTGAGGACTTAGGTGAGGTCATGGAATTAGTGTCAATGCAAAAACACCAGTCTCAAACTCAAAGAGGGTAAGAGGTAGCTTATTCTGGTCCTAAATTCTAGTGGCTATGACCCAGGAACCTGGATTTAGGTTACCCCAAGTTCCACTATTCCAAGGTGGAAGCTTGGTATTTTTACGACAACAAAACAAAGTAAGTTATAAGTCAAGGCACTTTATCTTTTTTTTTGGTTTTCCGAGACAGGGTTTCTCTGTGTAGCTTTGGAGCTTATCCTGGCACTCCCTCTGGAGACCAGGCTGGCCTCGAACTCAGAGATCCGCCTGCCTCTGCTTCCTGAGTGCTGGAATTAAAGGCATGTGCCACCAACGCCCGGCTAAGGCACTTTATCTTTTTAATGCATTTTATTTCACTTTTGAGACAGGGATGGCCTAGAATTTGCTATGTAGACAAAGCTGGCTTCAAACTCACAGGACTTGTAGGCCTCTACATCCAGAGTGCAAGATTAAAGATGTTCATTACCACGTCCTACCTGTCAGGGCAGTTTAAAAAGACATTGATGGGGACTGGAGAGATGGTTCAGTGGTTTAAGAGCACTTCTTGTACTTTCAGAGGACCTGGGTTCGATTCCCAGAACCTACATGGAGACAAAAAACATTCATAACTCCAGTTCCAGAGGCTCTGATGCCTTCTTCTGATTTCTGTGTGCATCAGACATGCAGAGATGAAGACAAAACACAAATAAAAAATTTTTTTTCCAGACAGGGTTTCTCTGTGGCTTTGAAGGCTGTCCTGGAACTACTTTTTTTTTTTTAAGATTTATTTATTTACTTATTATGTATACAACATTCTGCCTCCATGCCAGAAGAGGGCACCATATTTCATTACAGATGGTTGTGAGCCACCATGTGGTTGCTGGGAATTGAACTCAGGACCTCTGGAAGAGCAGCGAGTGCTCTTAACCTCTGAGCCATCTCTCCAGCCCCTGTATCTCTTTCTGTATCTCTTTATATAACTATCATATATGTAAAGATAGTCTTTTTTTCAAGATTTTATTTATTTATTATGTATACAGTGTTCTGTCTGCACATTCCTGCAGGTCAGTAGAGGGCACCAGATCTCATTACAGGTGGTTGTGAGCCACCATGTGGTTGCTGGGAATCGAACTCAGAACCTCTGGAAGGGCAGCGAGTGCTCCTAACCTCTGAGACATCTCTCCAGCCCCAAGATAGTCTTTTTAAATTCGGGATTTCATTATTTAATCGTGACTGGCCTGATTCCAAGTTGACTTGATGACCTAGGAACTCAGAGATCCGCCTGCCTCTGCTCGTCCACTTCGAATGGGTGGGTAAGCAGCTGAATTCTAAAAATGCTTAAATGGGGCATGGGAGGGGGAGGTCCGGGAGCAGGTAACAAATAACGCCCATGTCCCTGGCTTGTGTATGGGTCAAAGGCTGTCCACGCAGGGCGCGTGCGACGCTGACACACGGGAAGCTGGAGCAGGAGGCTGCGAGTGTGAGGCCGGTCTGGGACAGAGTGTGTGCAGACTGGGGTGAGCCGGGGTCTGTCTCCCCATCTCCACACTGCAGCCTCACACCTGTCTACCCAGGAGTAGCCGCTGAGCTGTCCCTCCAGCCCAGGGAAAGGCAACTGAGGGTGAGGGGCCCCCCACACGAGGAGCCCTTCAATGCCGCTCCACAGAGCTCCAGCCACACTGCGTCCATGGGGTCCACACCCCGCCAAGTCGTGAGGTCCGAGGGGACACACCGCTTCTCGGCTCCTGGATCTTGTCGGGTTCAGTTCAGTTACCTCCAGCCCGCTCTCCCGTCTCCCGAAAGACGTGCCCAAGCTTCCCGGGATAGCACCGGCCTTGCATCACTACGCTCGCAGTGTGGTCATCGGGATTCTCGACGGCCATCTCTTCCCACAATTCCGCGGACCTTAATGGGTGCAGGCCCTCGGCTGGCCCCAGATCTCGCGAGAGTACGATAATGCCCGTTGCAGCCCAGATTCGCCTTCCCGGGCATCAGCACTGCATGCTCCCTGGCTTTCCCCCAATCCTGCCACTCGCGCTCCGCTCTCGGATTGGCTGTGAGAGCCGGTCAGTTTTTTCCCCGGCCAGAAAGCAGTCCCACAACTTGTCCTTCTCTGGCCCCGCCCTCGGCGTCTGCGGATTGGATGGCTGGGTGTGATGTCACGCGGCTCGCGTCAGCGGAACCTAGCCAATCACAGGGTTGGCGTATTTTACAAACTGGGGAAGCCGCAGCAGCAGAAACCCAGAAAATCGGCGAAAAAGCTGAGAGGGTAGAGGTGACCCCGAGGGGCTCCTGGAGAGGTGCGGCATGGGTTCTGGGAGGGGATGAGTCCTGTCGAGGTTCCCAGGGAGGGACAGCAGTGTGGCGTTGCGAGGCGAGAGAGCAGGCTTGCGGTGTCTGGGGGAGTCAGCCCGAAGAGCGGCCTTGCTGCCGGGGCGAGCCTCTAGGCACATGGATTGGGAGCCAGGTGGAAGAATCAGGGCTATCAGCCCCATGCCCTGTTAAGTGATTTGCTTTGGTCCTCAGTCCTGCCTTCCCGCCTTCTTCTCCCGTCTCAATTATAGCCGCCATGACTACCCTCCACACTAGGAAGGAGCCCCTCCTCCGAGGTGTGTCTCCCACCCCTAGCAAGATTCCAGTACTCTCTCAAAGATGCCCAGATTTCTCTTCAGTCAAGTCGTGCTCTCAGGACCGGGAGAACCAAGATCCAAGGGTAAGAGGGGCTTGATGGTTGAAAAAGAGAGTAATGACATGGAGGCAGCTTACATCAGCAATGCTCCCCAGCACCGACTCCCAGCTTTTTGTTCCCTTCCCCCTCAGAGACTGTCTCAGAAAGTCAGTACTCCGCATCCGCTCATCGGCTCAGCAGCCCCCAGATCGAAAACCCTGCACCACACAGAGAAATCACAGAAATTGGGGATCACTCGGCTGCGGAACCCTTTGGAGGAACTCAAGCCTAGCTGTGGGGGAGCAAATGTGGAACATGTGTCTCACACCCAGACAGGTACCTGCTGGAAGCCTGGGAATAGTCTACTTGGTTGAGTGAGGATGGGAAAAGCCAAGTGGGATTTGGAGGGGTTGCACACCCTCTGGTTCCTTGCATATTGTAAGAGTTCTAGACTCTGTCCTGAAAGCTCTTTGCACTAAGAAGCCATCCCTTTACTTCAACAAAATGTCTTCTCTTTCTTGTCATGGTGGTGCATACCTTATCCCAGCACTCGGATGCAGAGACAGATGGATCTCTGTGAATTCCAGGTCATCCTGGTCTACAAAGTGAGTTCCAGGCCAGCCACAGCTCCACAGTGAGACCGTGTGGAAGCCTTTTCAGCAACCTAGTCACAGACATTCCCTCATTGTTGTGCTGATTCTTTTTAATTGGTCCATACTATAGCTTGAACAACCTCCTTTTCAATAACAGATACGTTTTTAAAAGATTTATTTTTGGCCGGGCGTTGGTGGTGCATGCCTTTAGTCCGAGCACTCGGGAGGCAGAGGCAGGCAGATCTCCAAAGCAAGTACCAGGATAGGCTCCAAAGCTACACAGACAAACCCTGTCTTGAAAAAACAAAACAAAACAAAGAGGATTTATTTTTGTTTTATGTGAGTCCGTGTGAATGTAGTGTCCATGGGGATCAGAAAAGAGCATTGGATACCCTAGAGCTGAAGTTATAGCCAGCTGTGAACTGCTATGTGGGTGCCAGAAATAGAACCCTCCCGGAAGAGCTGCCCATACTCGTAACCACTAAGCCATGTCTCCAGCCCTCAGTGATATCTTCTGTATGACAAAGAGTAATAGCTTACATGAAATTCTTTTTCTTTTTTTAAGATTTTATTTAATTTTTATGTATACAACATTCTGCTTCCATGTACATCTGCACACCAGCAGAGGGCACCAGATCTCATAACAGATGGTTGTGAGCCACCATGTGGTTGCTGGGAATTGAACTCAGGACCTCCGGAAGAGCAGTCGGTGCTATTAACCTCTGAGCCATCTCTCCAGTCCCCTACATGAAATTCTTACATGAGCTAGGTTCCCCCAACTCTCCCCCATCTCTCAAGGCTGGCTTTTAGCCCTGTATGCTGGGGAGGCTGGCCTTGAACACCTGGCTCTCCTGCCTTGGTATACTAAAATCTGAGATTACAGGTGTGTACACTAAGCCTGGCTTGGATATGTTTCTTTTGTTCACTATTGCTAGAGTCCTCTGCCCCTCAGCCTCTGCTATTCCTATCGTTCTAATCCTATCCCTTTCCTTTCAGAGGCTTCAGGGGCTATAGAATTTGTTGCTGACCCTGCAGCCCTGGCCACCATCCTGTCAGGTGAGGGGGTGAAGAGCTGTCCCCTGGGGCGCCAGTCCAGTCTGGCTCAGAGAGTACTAGTTCGAGGGAGCAAGGGAGGCACCACCCAGAAGGGCAAGGTAATGAGAAAGATGTGAGGTCAGGATGGGGTGGACTTGGGGAATTCTGAGCTCTTGCTGATAGCCTCTGTTGGCATCTCAGGGTGCTAGGTCTTCCGCATACCTGGCCCCCAGAACTCCCATCCATCAACTGGATCCAGCCAGGGCTTCCTGCTTCTCAAGACTGGAGGGATCAGGATCCCGAGGCCACACTTTGTTCCCACAGAGGATAGAGACTCTAGTGAGTACCCTTGAGGAGCTGACACTTAGTCTTTCTAGAAACTTCTTCCTGGAACAAAGGTACTGCCCTAGAACAGTACCTCCTAGATGAAAATGGGTTCTGAGCAGTGCTGTGCAAGAATTTAATCCCATCACTCGGTAGGCAGAGGCAGGAGGATCTCTGTGAGTTCGAGGCCAGCCTGGTCTCCAGAGCAAGTGCCAGGATAGGCTCCAAAGCTACACAGAGAAACCCTGTCTCGAAGGGAAAAAAAAAATCGAGAACGGGTTCTGTTGGGAGAGGTGGGTTGGGGTTTGTGTCTAGTTTGGGGCCTATTTCTCACTCTGCTTTCATGTCTTGGTCTGGATTAGAGTCTACCTTCAGGATCTTCTCATCCCACCACTCGCCCCAGTTTACAGGAGATAAGAAGAGAGACGTGTGACAATAGCAGGTAAGGAAGGCTATAGATACCTTTTCAACCCATGAGGGGATATGCAAAACATGTGAGGTGAGCCCCTGGAACAGGTCAGGCTTTCCTAGCCAGGCTTTAATATGAAGGAGCAGAGGGATCGACACCTAGGAAAGGTCAGGCTTTCCTAGCCAGGCTTTAATATGAAGGAGCAGAGGGATCGATGTGTGAAATGCTGTTTCTTTTGGCTACGGCATAAACTGACAATAAATGGGTTTTGAGTCAAATTCCTGACCCTTATCTACCTATCTGAGTTCTAGGATAACATTTGTACCATTAGAGGCTATTGTGAAAATGCAATGAGATGGTATTTGTAAAGCACTTAGCAGATGCCCAGCCCTTGCTTGATACTCAGGGATGGCTACTGTACTTACTGCCAACAGGACTTCAGCAAACCAGGCCTCCAGATTGCTCCTGAAGACCCCAGTTCAGCCTGGTGAGTGTGTCTGGATATGGGAGAAGGAACAAAAAGCCAGGGCGAGTGAACTGCCTGCACCAGGAACAAGACAAGGAAAAGGCCAACAGGTCTTGAGCAACAGCGGAGTGAGGAAGCAGGGAGGTAGGGAGACTAGGTCAGAAGAGTTGGAGATCTAGCTTAGTGGTAGAGTGCTTGCCTAGCAGTCACATCCCAGAAACACACAACCATGCACAAGACCTCCTACATAGGGCAGAGGTTGGCGTGGTTGAACTGTGTTTCTGCCCTCTCCCTGCCACTTCCTGCAAAACTAAATTTCCACTGTGTTCTATCCCAATCCCTTATGAGCCATGGTCACCTCTGGCCTACTTGGGGCATTTGATCAGTGTTTACTAAGATATTATTAGGCTGTCAGAGAATGCTGAATGAGTAGCCTTTGATGTTCTAAATACTAGAGCAAATGTTCTATCTCCTCCCATCTTCTTTATCTCTCACAGAACATGAGGCTGTCCCTCATTCAGATGAAAGAGGAAGAGCCCTTCTGGGTCTGGCTCAACGAGTACCATTAAGAGGAACTGGAGAAAGAATGCACACCAGGGTGAGATGAGACACCTCCCCACGCCTACCCCCACCCCCACCCTCACCCCCACTCCCAATGGGGGTAGAGTGTTCAGCAGATGCATCCAGGGTCATGGGTAGAGTTGGACAGACCTGGGACTCAGGTTGTTATTAGGTCTTGGTTTGCTGGAGTTGGGACCAAGCCTTGTTCAGAGTGGATCTGATTCCCTTTGTTAGGCATCTGGGGCCTGGGGTGAAAGGTGACAGACAGGCATGCATGTGTGTCACCATGAAATCAGTGCTAAGCCTAGACACATACAATGCTTACCGACCAAAAATAATAATTACTGCTGGGCAGTGGTGGCACCCGACTTTAATCCCAGGACTTGAGAAGAAGAGGCAGGAGGATCTCCAAGGCTAGCCTGGTCTACAGAATGATTTCCAGGACAATCTCCAAAGCTATACAGAGAAACCCTGTCTTGAAAAACAAAAAAAAAAAACAAAACAACAAATAAATTCCTTCAAGTATTTACTAACTGGCCTTTGAATGCAGACATGGTTGTAGATTCAGAATATGCATATTCTAGAAGAGGGAAGCATAAAAATAAACACAAATATATATAGAATGTCAGGAGATAATGCAGCCTCTCTGAAATTAAATACTTAAGGCACTGAGAGGATCTTGGAGGGGGAATTGGTGTCATAAATGGTAGCTTAGAGCCAGGCATGGTGGTACATGACTGTAGCCCAGCTCTCTGGAGGCAGGAGAATTGCAAGTTAGAGGACAGCTTGGGCTGCTCCACAGTGAATTCCGGGATAACCTGGGATATGCAGCAAGACCCTGTCTTTAAAAATAAAGATGGAGGGGACAGATTCGTATTTAGGACTGGTAACTTAGCTCACACACAAAGCCATTTAACCAAGAGGGCTGCAGGTACAAAGGCCTTGAGGGGAGGGTGCACCTTGTGTTTTAAGCCAGCAAAATAGGCCAGTGAGTCTGAAGCCTAGAAAAGAGGAAGAAGCTTCAAGACAAGTTTATAGAGACAAAGGTGAGAGCAGGTAAGGAACTAGCCAGTGTAAGTCCTTGGCTATTTCTTAAGCTGAATGGAAAGCCCAGGGGAGGAAGTGAGAATAGAGAACAATACTTGATTTCTCTCTTAAAAGAATCTTCAAGCACTGCACATGGTAGCACATATGTATAATCCCAGCCTTAGGAGGTCAAGGCAGGAGGATCGGAATTTCCAAGCTGGCCTCTTGGTCACATGAAACCCTATCTTAAACAAAAACAAAACAAAAAAACAAAGAGTGGCTGCTGCTGTGGGGAGAACAAGACATAGGAAGGTGAATTCAGAAAGGCCTCTTCCTGCCCCTTTCCGCCACGGGTCAATGGTGACTCCCATGCCTTCTCCAGGCTCATGCCTGGCCATGTAGTGCCACCCTTTGTCACCCACCCATCACCTTTAGACAGGCTCAGATGTTCCCTCCCCAGGCCTCTTAGCTGTGGTTTGTATCGACAACTCTTTTTTTTTTTTTTTTTTTTTGGGGGGGGGGGTTAAACACAGG